TCGTCAGAACTTTTTCATAATTCTTTCCAAGTCTTTAGAAATGATCGAGTGAATCGCATTGGTGATGGTGTATTAATTGCCATATCTGCGTCAGTCCCGTCCAATTTAATTGAATTTCCCACTTCTCCTGACGTTGAATTTATCGCCATTCGTGCGAAAATGCCTAATAAACATCTATTTATAACCTGCTCCTATATTCCCCCAAATTCTGATATCTCCATTTACAAGAAACACGCTGCCCTCATTTGTGAAGTGGCCAAGCTGTCTAGACCCACCGATTTGGTCGTTGCATTGGGTGACTTCAACTTGCCTCAAGTCACTTGGTGTAACAGTGACAATTCTGCCTGTTTGACTCCTACTTCAATGATGGTTTGTTGAAATGCCTTAATGTGCCAACTCAAACTTTTTTAAATAATTATTATAATTTTCATAAAATCAATATTGTATTACTAAAACATCGTCTTTCACATCTGACGCTTGATTTCTCAAATGGTAGTATTGAAAGCTTATTGCCATCGTTCTACAATACATTAAATCTAGCTATTGCTGCATCTGTTCCGATCAAGCATTGTCGACCTCGAAGCAGATGTCCTCTGTGGTTTAATAAGACAATTAAATATCACAAGAATAGAAAAAACTTGCTATTCAAAATATATTCGAAAAGTGGCTCTGCGCTCGACTATGTCGCTTACTCGGTGGCGAGGCATAGATTTAACTCCCTCAACCATCATTATTACTGCAGATACCTTCAGTTCATTAAATCCTCTCTGTTTGCTAATCCTAAATTCTTCTTTAAATTTGTTAACTCAAAAGGAAAAATTTCCACATATCCCTTTCATGTTTCTTTTAATAGCTCTGATTCCTCGGATGATTTTGAAATCTCAAATCTATTTGCTGAGTATTTCCGACGTAACTTTTCGATTGCTAATTTCGATTTATCAGCAAACTACCCATATCCTATAACTAACTCGGTTTCAATACCTAACTTGGTTATTTCGGAAGATGACGTTTTTAAAGGGTTGAGTTCTCTAAAATACAGTTGTTCGCCTGGACCTGATGGAATTCCATCATGTGTACTTAAATCTTGCGCTGTCGAGTTATGTGGTGTGATCTCAAAGATTTTTAACATGTCCTTGTATTTAGGTGTTTTCCCTTCATGTTGGAAGAGTAGTTTCCTTATTCCTATCCACAAAAGTGGTAGTAGACAATTTGTTGAGAACTACAGAGGCATAGCCAAGTTGAGTGTCTTACCTAAGTTTTTGGAGCGAATTATGACTTAACATTTGGCCTTTGCCATTAATTCGTACATTTCCCCGCACCAGCACGGCTTTCGGAAAGGGCGATCTACAGTCACCAACTTGTTAGAGTTTATCTGTCATGTTTTCAAGGCTTTTTCTTGAATAATTTGCTTGTATGGTGCTCTTTGAATCTTTTGAAATTAAATCTAAATAAATGTAAGAAGCTTTCTTTCTCAAGAAGAAAGTCATTCATTACACAGTATTTCATTGATTCACATAAGTTGGAGGACGTCGATATGTCTACAGATTTAGACGTTCTATTTGACCATAGATTACGTTTTAACTTGCACATTGAGCTCTCGATAAGCAAAGCTAGGTCGGCGCTTGGTTTTATAAAAACGTGGTCCAAAGTGCTTGATGATCCCTACACGAAAAGGCTGTACATGTGTTTGGTTAGATCTATACTTGAGTATGCCTCTGTTGTGTAGTCTTCTTCATATAGGTGCTACGTAGATTCAATTAAATCTGTTCAAAAGCAATTCTTGCTGTTTGCCCTTAGAAATTTGGGTTGGCATCCAATTGCCTCTCTACCTCCGTATAAAAATAGGTTGCTTCTGCTGTCCTTACCGTCACTTGAGAAACATAGCTTTGTTCTTGGCGTTTCCTTTGTAATCAATGTAATAAATGGTGCTATTGTCACGTCTTTATTACTTGGTGAAATAAGCTTTAATGTCCCTAACCGCTTCTCTAGACACTCTATCTTGGTTAAGCTTAGTCAGTGTAAATTTAATTATGAGCTGTTTAATTCGCTCAGAGTCGTTTGCAAGAACCTAAATGACGTCTACAACTTATTTTCGTTTTCGGACTCTTTAAGGCCCATTAAAGCAACATTGCTTAATACGCGCGATTTACCTATGTCGTAGTTAAACTAGCTTTTAACCTTAAAAAGTCGTTACGTTTCGAAAGTGAATTATTGTCAATTTATTATCGGTTGCCAGGCTTATACATGTTTGCGATGGCTTAGGCGTTCATTTGTAATTTGGTCCTGTACCGATTGTAAGTGTGGCTCTATGCTGATAGTGTACATGCTTTTTTTCTTTTTTCTTTTTTTTTTTCTTCTTATTTGTTTTATTATACTTATACTAAATTTTATTATTAATTAATATAAGTTTTGCATTATGAGCCAATTGAACTCGGCTGTTATTTGTTTAGTTGAGTTTCTAGTATAAGTAGAATTAAAATAAATAAAAATAAAAAATAAATAAATAATTGTCTTACTTTTTCTAACCTACGTCTCTTGTGGTAAGAGTGACACATTATTCAGACTTCTGAATCAATCGAAGCTTGCCTGGTCGTCTATTCGCCTGGTTTTTTTTTCGTTCAAATTAAAGCATGAAATTTTTAAGATACCGCTCTTGAAAATGGTTCGGATCGTACCACTTCTTCGATCATAGCCCACTACAGCGTTTTTATTTAATTGTGAACTTTTAATCAATCAACAAGCAAATATTTCATCTTTTGAATTTTGAAATGAAAACTTTCGTACATTTTTCAATTAAATTAAATTTTAACCATCCTTAAGTTAAATACTGCACATGTTTGATTGGTATATAATGTATGTTTTCCAATTGCAGAGGGAACCAAAAAGTCAATAATAAAATACGTTTTGAGTTTTTTATTATTTTGTTAATTTGTTTTCATATATTTTTTTTGCGCTTTCAAGGTGAAAACGGCAATTTAATAAATTGCAATTTGGATTATTGAAGTAAAAGAGAGTAGTTCGCGAAAATTAAATTTTCACTAAACTCAATGCAAACTGTAGCTTGAACCTTTAACCTAAAAGCTGGCATTTTAAAATCCAGGAATGATCAAAAACAGGCATATAACACATACACACGCACACCCGTCTGAAAATGAAATGAAATTTTAAGTGAGTGGATTTCATTGCAGTTAATTTACCACGAAATTAAAAACGTTATATAACGGGGAATGTGGAGCAAGACAATGGCATAAAAAATTCGAGATTTACATTTGTCTGTGACTGAGAGTTTTACAGCAATCATCTTAAAAAAATTTCGCTACCATATGGTACATGGCGACTGCACTCTTTTTATCCACTTTACCTACAGTTACTAGGATGCCTACTATCACCCATAACGTACACGTGAAAATCTCAATCTTTTACCTGTGTATAATAGTGTGATCAAAACCCCCAAAACGCAGAAATGTTCTCAGCTTACGTTCCATTTCATGTGTACCCTTTGCTTGGTTTGCTCCACTTTCAATTCCAATTTTGCCCTATTTGTGTGAAAATTGAGCCCAATGAGTGTACCAACGCTATTACGTACCTAGGCAGGCAGATATGCTCAGATCGATTCAAAATTTGATACTAAATGAGTATGTATGTCTTTTGTGGAGTCTCTTTCTTCCTGATGCTGCGAACGCACAAGTGACAATATCGAATTTGATTTCTGCATTAAGGTCAAATGCTTATTGACATCAGTTTTCGTATTTAGCAGAGGAGATTTATCAGAACGCATTCAAGCTACACGAATTTTTTACGCTACGAATAATGGAATTGAGACAGCCTTTAAACTAAACTTTCACATATAAAATATTTTAACTTTAATAAGTTATGATAAAAATTGGTGTATGATGGTTTTTGAAAACGGAAATAGAGAAGAAATAAATAAATACGGACTATGCTAGTTTTCGGTTTGAACTGGTTCCTATATAAGAGCTCCCATGAAAAGTGCTCATTTATAAGGAAGCACGGAACAATGCCTCTTAATTTATCGCGAAAATAAATGGGTAATTGTATGACACGAAGTAGTGTCGTATATCTAATGATTGTGACGGTCCTGCCCGATTACACAGTTCTTATTTGTTCTATCCTGCACCGCTTCAGAAGTGATTAAGTTCCATGCATTATATTTTTAAGGTTTCTTCCAAAGAATCTTCGATGGATGTCTTTTAGTAACACCGTCATTCCAATTAACAATATGACCTTGATTTCTAAACTATGATCGTTTTGGGTTTCATTGTATGTAGTGAAGTAGTAGCTAGTTTGGAGGGTTTTTTAATTCATCTTGGCGAAGTAACTATAGCAACAGCTCTCTCTCTCTCTCTAGTTACCCACATAAAAATATCCTCCTTCCCAATTTCAATGGCTATAAATAATATATAAGATCATTTGATTAACAACGTACTTTTTCGTTAAATCTGTCAATTCATATTAGTCCCTTTATATCTATCACCGAAGTATGACATACACAGCAAGCCTTAATCCGAAATCCCTTCTGTTTTTCTTTTCTCTGCCACTCATTTCTGAATTTATCTTGCTATTCAAATTCAAAAATGGATAAAGTCGGCCACCCCTTCACAACAAAGTGATAAGAGTTCAAAGTTCATTAATACTAATCTTGTAATAATAATTTGCAATAACAATTTTACACTACCGAAGCATATCAACTCTTTTACTTATTTTCTATATAGTTTCTTTCTAATGCAAACTAATTTATTTAAATGTGTTACTTTTTATTTGATTCTCAATTTCCAAAAAGAGAAAAAATAAATTACCTGCAACGTTTTTGTTCTATTCTCTATCTATTTGTTCTTTTGGTCTTTCGGAGTGTTGGCAATTAGAAATGAACTATATGAACTTTACACTGATATACTGAGCCTTAGCTGATTACTTTTTTAAGTATATCGATCACCATTTCAATAGCGATTCAATAGCAAACGATCGTCAATAATACTCACGTCTGCCATGGCTCACAGAGTTACGTCGTTGAATGTTCAAAATTTCAAAGAGCGACATCACTAAATCATTTTCGCCCTTTTTATATTTTTTATTATTATAATGTGGCGAGGAGGTATTTCGCTCTATCACTTAGTGTTAGGTAAAAGAAATTACTTTTAGTAATGTTACAGAGTTGTTCTGTGCACCCGTCAAGAATGAAGTAAGGAAATGAAACACGTACTAAAACAATTGACTTTAAAGCAAATAATGTGCGGCTTCAATGATTTTAAAAATAATAGACAAAACACGGCGAAGATTCATCTTATCGTGCCAGACTTTTTATTTTGTACTTTTATCGTATAAATTTTTCTGGCAAGGCCATGTCCACTATATACGATATTCGTACTTTTGAACAAAATTTATTCATTCTACTTTTATTTTTGCATTTTCTGTTTGCCTTGTGTTCCCTTCTTGTGTTTCCTCTTGTTGCGCAAATTGGCCATCTTTGTTTCTCTTCTTTTTTTGTTTTGCGCTTATCTTGTAACCTACGAAAACAAAAATTTACAAAGCATATCGTACGAGCGTAAATAGATTTTATGATGTCAGAATGCAACCTTAAATGGGGAGCAATAAATAATATGTCTCTCAAATAAGCTTACGATGTTATTTATATAAATCGTTTATATGATGGATATTGAGAGAAAGGGGCGATGTGTCATTTTTTTTTTCTTAAAAGCAATAAAATGTTTTATTTAAAAAATTTCAATTCTTCGTGCTGGTAACTTTAGGCATTTGAAGCAACTGACTGCCTTTATCAAATCAGCTGAGTTTTCATTCTAATTTTACATTTAGTATTTCTATTACAATCACGAATCGCCTACACTTTTTCTTTTATCGGCATTATTAGCCGGATCTTGACAGTACAGTACCAAGTACGGTGATTTATGGATTGACAGCGGAACAGAGCCTCTCATTGCGAACACTCTGCCACATCAGTCTACCTATGCTTAAATTTTTTCATCAATCGCTCTCAACTTCGTTTCCGGATTATGGATCTAACATTAACTTAACTGGTCCAATGCATCTCTAAACAAACAAAAAAAAAAATTTCAATCCTTATTTTTACATGCTATTAACACTTTGTCCTATGTATCTTATTGGCAGCGAGGTTTCGTAAATTGGATTTCCTGGCTGACTTTCATTTGCGAGTAGGGTTATGTTTGTACTTTATGTTTAACTAGTAAATTAGGTCTTGCATTGTATGTTACGTTTTATTTATAGCTTTGTTTGTATATTTTATTGACTTGTGTTCTAGATTTTTAATTCCAACTTCAGCGTTTACTTATTAATTTAGACCTATCTTTACGAAGCTGTCACTTGTAACGTCGGTTTGCCTTTTGGCTTGGCCTCTATTTACATCAAATGCCGATTACTTTCATGCTTTTGACGGAAATTTTTTCAATTACCGTGGCTTAGGTAAACTTTATCTTGACCAATCGAAAATTAGGAGTGCTCCGGGCGTGCAAATTTTCCAAAAAAAATGCTTCCTGTCAGTAAAGTTTTCCTTAAGTATTCTAGAAGTCGCAAAATATCTATTAAGACTTAAAAAGTCTTTTTTTCTACCGTAAATTTTTCAGCGGCGTTATCCGTTAAAGCCTTAAAAGAGTGCATATTACAGCCTCCAGTAGGAAAAGTTCTCTGATTCTTTGATTGTCCGAACATAATTCTATATAGGTTCCTTTTTCATACTTTCGGCTAAGTGAAGTGAGAAACTTATTTTTTCTTAAAGTTCATAAGTTATGTTATTTATGAGTTTGTGGATTGTGCTTTGATTTTCTTTTTATTCCTATTCAATTTCATTTCTCTTACTCTAGGAAATGGAATGTTTTTTTTCTTTTATTCAGCAAATCAAAGTATGTATTTATTTTTTCTTAGGGCACTCTGTGTAATACAATATAGATTGAACTGAGTAAAACAGCACTTAACCTACTATACCGTTTCTAATATATAAGTAAATAAATAGGATAAAAAAAGGGCACTTTTACGTCTTTTTTTTTGTTTTTACAAATTTATCAGCAACTATAAACTTCGGCCAATGCAATACATAGTTAAGCAAGTTCTAAAGCCTACGCAGAGAAAGAATTGAAATATTGTTCAAGTAATCACTTTCGTTAACCATAGTAATAGTCGATCGCAACAATTGAAGCAATTTACGTTCCTCAGAATTAGCCCAATTTCGTTTTTAAACCATTCAAGGAGTTATCAAAGGATTTCAAAATGTTTGATAACGCGTTCCAGTATCGAGCTGAGCGGAAAGTAAATAATGAAATGACGTTTGGTAACGCATTACAGCAACATTGTTCGATGGGAAGTAGCCCGCCCTGGAAAAAACATAAATCTTACTACAGTTTAAATACGACATAGATAATCTCCCTGATTATTATATTCAATGTACACAATAGAGAGATTAGGGTATTGGCGTCATTTATATTTCTGCAAATACAGGTGAATAGTTCAAAGTTTAATAAACTCTAACTAAGTTTTATTAAGAGAAAATTTCTTGAAAACCGGCAGGAACATCCAATAAAGCCGTTAAGTCACCGGTGGTATTCACCAAATTATAAGGATTGTCTTCCTGTTCTCAAGAGCGTAATAAAATACGGTAATGGACCGCCAGTTAAATTGATGATAAATTTAATTGCTTTGCAATCTCCTCGCGAAAAATAAACCAGAAAGTATGGTGCATGAAAGCACTACATCTAAGAATTCTTGTTCTTGCGCTGCTCATATATTTTACAATTCTTCCTCTTGCTCATAAAATTTAAAATTCATGTTCTTGCGCTGGTCAAATATTTTACAATTCTTCCTCTTGCTCATAAAATTTAAAATTCATGTTCTTGCGCTGGTCAAACATTTTACAATTCTTCCTCTTGCTCATATAATTCAAAATTCTTGTTTTTGCCTTGCTTTCATATTTTACAATTCTTTCTCTACTAATGTGAAATGAAATAATTGAAATCGAATGAGATTTTAATTGCCATAAGATCTCGTAAATCCCACGACTATCATTTAGTTTAAAAAAAAAAAATAGGATATATACGGGGTTGATTCGCAGCTGTTAGAAGAAATCGAAAAAGAGGTTCGGGAAAGTTCTTAAAAAAAAGAACATGATTTGTAGTAAAAGTCGAGTAAATATGGCATGTGCATCCCCTCTTTCGAAAATTTTTCACTTGAACGATTTTTGCAGTTGTTAAATTTTTAGTGCTGTTGATTGTTCGACTTCTATTACCCTATCACTGCGGCCTTTTCTGTCAAAATTCCAAGAACATTCACGTTCATTTTTTCGGCTATGCTTTGAGTTTCACTTATTATGACATAAATTGAAAATCTTCACGGATGCTATAATAAGAAATACGGAAAAAGTTATAAGTATGACAAAAGAAATGTAAGTGCAAAAAAGCCAATTGCGTGCGCGTCACTGAGAAGAAGATTGCTTACAATTAAATCGCGTCATAAACTAATTACGAAGCATAAACTAATTACCCCTATTGTCGCCATACCTCCCTCTTGCTTGTAGCTTGTAATACCGGTAGTTGGTTCTAACAAAGTAATTTCTTATTGAAATTTAGGTTTGTTATTGACAACATGTGTGTAATTTATATATGTTTTCCATGTTTTACTGAAATTCGAAAGATTTTATGTGAGAAACATAATTTACCGCATGAGGAGCAAGCACTTACTTGGTAATGTAAGGTTTAATCTAATAATTAAAAAAAAATGCTTTTAAAAATTGTTCAATATGTATGCCCGTCACGCGTATTTTATAACAAGCATTGACCATTAAAATTTATTAAGATCTCTTTTGTTCTTATAGCTGCAATGTTTATGGTTTCTCCCTTCTTTTTTTTTTTTTGATGTAAGGCGGCTTTAGCACAAAGTTTTGCTTTGACCATTTTACAAAGAATAAATGCGATTAAATGGATTTCTGTCCGTCTATAAAAAACAAATTGCGATGTTCTACCCTTAGTATCATAGATAAATGAGTTTTAATTTTTGTAGTAAATTTCTTTAGGGTTTCTTGCTTATGTCATTGCCGAGACGAGCGATAGGAAAGAAAAAGGACAGTGATATGACAGGAAGAGAACCTACGACAAGGAGCTTAAGTTTTTACAGCTTATCAGCAAAAAGGAGTGTAACATAAAGTTTCTTTAAAAGAAAAGTTTCCTAATAATAAACTAATCGAAAACTTCGTTAAGCTGCATATATAATCTTCGTATAAGAAAAAACTTTTCTCAACGCCTATAAATTTCAGTCAACTTCACCGCTTTATTTGTTACGTCTGGTAATTATTGTTGTAGAAGATTCCCAATATATCCACTTATATCTGGCCAGATTGCCTTAAATAGAGTACATCATACGCTCCTTAAAAAAATTTGTTGTACAAACGACCCGGCGATACCGCACTGCATGAATGTTATTGTACATCGCTCTGGATACATAAGGTTTGCCTGGACCTTAGCACTACCGAAACCTAAGATAAACTCACCGTTTATTATACCACTGGGTTCGGAGATGTTGCTTGAGTGTCTTTAAGCCATCTAATGTGCATGAATTTTAATTTATGTTCAACTTACTATTCGAAAAATTTTCCAAATGTTATGTTAAAATATGTTACGCTGCTTATTTCCCTTAAGTCAAAATGACACTACTTGAAAGAGAAAAATTTTCTTATTTCATATATCTTCACGAAAATAGCTGAATAATAGTATATTGCTTTAGAAATAAATCCGAAAAATTGGGATCACATGAGAACCCCACTCATGAACTTCTTTTTCACACTTGTAAAATTTCGAACCCTCACTAACTTAAGGGGGATTCAAAAGAAGAAATCTTTATATGACGGAAGAATTCCAATTTTATTTATTTTATGGGCGAAAAACAAGGAAGGAAACCATATTCGGCTGGAGACGAATTCTATAAATCCATTGCCATGCATTTACCATGCTACCGTAGGATGAAACCGGTATTGCAAGTTATCACTACTCAATTAATATCAATGAGCTTTAGAAGTTCCAAGTAAATTACCAGCTAGCAGATTTAGTACAGAATGGTCACGTTCTCTTATGCTATTTATTATACACCCCGAAGGCCGCAGGGCTTTCGGTCTTTACGTAGTACCCTTCGGATTACACATAGTAGGCGGCTTTAAGGCTCCGAATTCATTATGAAACGATGATCCAGTAAAATTAGAATTAGATAGCTTCGCTCAGGAAAAGCACCGACATCGAACCATAA